GTTTTAATATAGTTTTAATTTACTGTAGCGTATTTGTATGGTGAACGAACGGACAGGGCATCAGCTTAGTTACTTTCTCTTTATTTTCTCTTTACTTTAATACATTTTTTGTCTATTTTTGTCTAAAATTTTTTTATCCAATCAATCCAGGGGGGGGGGAAGTGCCCCCCTTGCCCCTACCTGCGGGCCCCCATGCCTGTAGGCCTATATAGACCTCACCACACCTGTAGCCCTATATATCCCATAACTTCAGGCTTAAATTTCCCAAGCTTACGGGTAAGTTGATAGGTCCAGTTTGTTGTTGCAGTTGTCCATCGACAACTTTCATAAAATCCTCCAGTTATTCTGTACTTAATGACCTTCCTGACGTCAAAGGCATTTTAAAAAATCGTACAATCAAAACTATGAATGGCCTTTCTGATCTAGCTCCATCACGTGACATAGGTTTGACCGGAGATTGGCACACATGTGTTAATAATAATAAGAAAAAAATATATTGAAAAAATATATCTAGGCCAAGAACACAAGGATGAACTTGAGGACACTGTGTGCTGACATGACTTCTCACCACATAATTTTGAGGCCAGTGTCCCCCATAGAAGTAGTCTACCAATTTTGCGCAAATTACCCCCTTTGGCCCCCATTGGATATCCACGCGACGGCTCCGCTCCTGAGCATCAATATAGTGCGCCAAATGTTATTGTTCTGGTGGGTCGCCAAGTGGGCTCCATACGAATACATAAATAAATGATCTGAATGATTTATTTGTATGTATGGCATTAATAACGCATTAATAACTTTTGACAGAGTTTAGTTTTAGTTCAACTCCATTATCAGTTCACCCTTTTCAATTAAATCGTTGCTTCCAAACTTTTTAAAGTTTCTTGAAATAGCATTGTTTTTTAAAATGTCTTGACCCTGATTATTATTTTTTTTCAACTACCGGTACATCATTGCGCAGCTGTTTATTATTTTTCTACAGAAAAAAAAAGCAAGCACGTCATGTTCAGTTTAGAGCTCTGGCAAGAGACAAAGGACATTTCATAATTTGTATTCCATGTCTGTTCACTAAATTTTAAATAATGTTACATCTCTTACCGCCAGCTTTAGCATAGAAAAAACTCAGGCAAAGACGTGAAGTTTATTATTTATTTTAAGAAAATAAAAAAGCAACACTTTGAATAAGTCCAACATCGTAACGGCTTTAAAACACTGAAATTATAATCTATAAATAACTTGTAGTTCAACTTCAAAATTTTAAAAAAATATGTATACAAAATATGATTTTTTAAAAACAATTTTACCCTTGCTGGGTTGTAGGAATTCAATGCAGTCAAGGGAATGTTAGTGTGTCAGCAGATGAATAATTAGTACCAGGAGTAATCTCACAAAATAATTTCAACAAAAATTTGAATTCAACAAGAACTGAAATTCATACACACACAAGATTAATTAAACATATTTAAACATAATTTTAAAAAATATGAGATAACAATTTAGATGACCTGAAATTCTACGATTGTTAGATGATTGTAAAGGTGAGAGAAGCCATTGAAAAATAAATGTAAATAAAAAAAAAGAAGAAATCTGTAAAATAAATTTTGGTTACTCATTAAAGCAAAATACAAATAAAATCTGGGAAGCTAATGTATCACATGCTGCTCACAAGCCTGAACGGCTGCCATGCAGCAGTTTGCCAAAGGTCTATTACAAACACAAATACAATAATGTTAATTAAATTCTTTACAAAGAAGTTAATTCCAACTAAATGTATCCATAAATTTATAACGTGAAGACATCTAAAAGTAAAGCCCAGTTAACTACAGATGTCCATTGATTGGTCAGGTGCAATATGTCATTGGACACATGATTGGTCAGCAATGGTCAGTGCATTGGTCAGCACTGGCCAGTACATTGGTCAGCACAGGTAAGTACATTGGTGTCACTGTTTGTTCTCCTACATCTACATTATTGCGTTGTTAAATTAAAAATGTAGAAAGAAAGAACGCCAGGCATTACAAATAATGTAACACAACAAAAATATCTTTGATGAAGATTGTACACAATACATCTGTGATGAAATAGTACAATAAAAAATATAGTGATACTCTTGTCCATAAACTACACATCTATAATACAAATGCACATACAAATGTAACTGAAGAAATTATAAATACTAATGCATCTGAAATGACAATGTACATAATAAAAATATTTCAGCTGAAATTCTCAGATTGCTACATGGGCAGATAGGTGAGAGAAGCAAAGAACATTTATGTGTGGCATCGACAATTAATTCCATTTGGTGCCATGGCGCCGAGACGAGACCTCTTTTTTAAAAAAAAAATAAGTCTTGAAAACAGACTAGGTCTTCCATAATCTGATTTTATAAATGTATAATAATAATATTTATAAAGGAAGTAAATCGTATAATTGAAATGGTAAAAAAAAATTAAGTCAAATTCAGTTTGGACGCTCATGGTAATTTTATACCTCAGCTGCAATATTTTTAATCATGAACAAAATCTGATTGCATATAAAATAAATAACATTAGCTGAAAGAAAGTTGCTTCTAAGAACAAGAATGCTTCATGAAATGCAGTGACCTAATTGTCTACTACGCCAGAATGGCTAGCGTAGGAAATTGGAGCTCAAAGCACTTGCTCAAAATGTCAGTGGCCAAGTTTGTAAAAATCCTAGGAATGCAAACTTTTTCTTTTTTTTTTCCAAGCCACTTAAAAATGAGAAAGTTTAAAAGTAAACAATTATTGAGTGACGGCTTTGACAAATATGGTAATACTTAAGAAATGAAAGACAAATTGGTTTACATTAAATTGTATTTTTTTAGAATGCTCTCCACCACTCCCTGCATGTTTTGATGAAGGGAATCTTTGGTCTCTCCATAAACTTTTAGGGCTAATTGTTTGAAAGTATCAGACCCACTGGCCATTGCTTCATACAGCGGCTTGGTATGTTTCTGTTTTCCTGTGAACGCATAATCACAAATTTAAAATGCTTTATAAAAAAAAATCCTTTACATTCACTTCGCTTTCGTTCGTGGGTGGCTAGCTGGCAAAATCTTTGGATGGCAAACTGACCCATTTCCCATCAACCAATCGAGCTGAAACTAGGCATATAGACTGATTAAAAATGACAACACATACTAACAAATTTTAAATTTATCAATTTACCCCCCCAACCCTCAAAAATCAGTTTTTCCCTTCTTTCAAGGGGAACATGAAGGAAAATCCAAGATAACTGCGCTAAATGAGATTCTTTAAATAAAAAATATTGCAGGTGCGCTTGGTGTGTAATAGTTTCTTTGTTTTTTTCTGAAATAGTTGGTGAAATAAATCTGTTGTGTAAAAGCGGGTGGGTCATTGGCATATTAATATAGTTCAGGGGCGTGACATAAATGTGTGGTTGCGAGCCTTGGGGGGGGGGGGGGGCATTAATCGGGATTCTTATAAAGTGCGTTACATGCATGCATGTTTTATCAAATTTTCAAACCCATCCCTAATTGCTCAATATTAATTTTTTTAAAATGGATTTATACAAATTATAATTACCATAACTGAAAGTTCTTAATTGATTTAACAATCTAGTCAGTAAATGAGTGCAACGTCTTCCAGTACAGATCAATGATCATCAGACTTTGAAAGAGTGATCACCACTTCATAAAGTTCATCAGTGTAGTAAGCATTAATCAAATCGAAATGTTTCACTCTTTTGGTTAATCTTAAACTATATGTTTCTATTTTGTTAATTTTATAAGTTAGATAGCGTCATGGAGACAACTTTTCTGTCATTTTTAGAAACCAGGATTAAAAAAAGAAAAACAAAATTCCATTTAAAACATTGTAAGAAATTTTGAATGTTCAACAAGAATTTGTGAAGAGATTCTTTTTTGAAATTACAGGAAAAAGAACACTTATAATATCTGCAGATCAAAATAACAACAGACTGTTATCCCGGGGTGTGGCTTGGTAAAAAGGAAGTAATTAGAACTCGACCCAGTCAAGGGAGGGACAACTCTAACAATGCTAAGGTGTGGCCAATCTGGCAGGATGTTGGTAGAAATTTGATTCCTGGCTCATGACCTTTTTGACTTAATTAGCCTCAATTAACTTACAGTATTTTTGGTATTTATTACAGATTTTTTTGTGAGTGATAACATCTAAAACCAGAAATAACAAAAACAAGAAGAGAATTGTGATGCAAGAGTTCTGGTGTCAATTTCAGTGCTTTTATACTTTTGTTTCTGTTAATTAGTTGCATGGATCAGCGTTTCTCAAACTGAGCAACAATTAAATCCACAGAGAAAACTGTTAGGGGAGTGGGGGGGTGGGGCGTGTAAAGGTCAGGGTGTTGGTGAGATGTCAATTTTTAAATGTGCTCCTCCGGTAATGTTTTATGGAACTATGATTTGATCTCAACAAGATTCATTTTTTTCTTTTATACTTTTGTTTCTGTTAATTAGTTGCATGGATCAGCGTTTCTCAAACTGAGCAACAATTAAATCCACAGAGAAAACTGTTAGGGGAGTGGGGGGGGGGGGCGTGTAAAGGTCAGGGTGTTGGTGAGATGTCAATTTTTAAATGTGCTCCTCCGGTAATGTTTTATGGAACTATGATTTGATCTCAACAAGATTCATTTTTTAAGGACCCCTGATTATCTTTGTTTCCTCCGATTAACATGGTTCTCTCTGAACAGCACGGTTCCCTCTCACCAACATGGTTCTCTCTGAACAGCACGGTTCCCTCTCACCAACATGGTTCAGCTGTTTTTGGGGGTGGTGACATCTGAATATATTTATCGCGGATCTACATTTATACTCATACTTAGCTTACACTAACTGCCAGCCTTAGTGTGAGTACCCCTGTACTTGGTAGCATTTAATTTTTTAAAGTGTCACATGAACCCCATAACTGTTTTAGTTGTATCTGGGTTCATGGTCACTAACCGTCACTCAAAAAGCAAGTCTTTATATTTACCCTGGCTGTGCAAGAATTGTCTGACATCCTCCGTCTGATCAACCATATCATTTTTAATAACAAGCTCACACCACCTCTGTCTTATCTATGAATGAAATAACATATATATATATATATATATATACAAATATATAAATAATTAGATGCATACAAGAAATAACCTGAATCTGCATAATGAAAATGACTTTTTCTAAAGATAAAAATAAATCTCATTGTAAGCTCATCAAATTCTTAAATTTTATATTTGTGCAAGGCACGTAGTATCATACCGTAGTATCATATGGTCTTCTCCTAACTTCTATAAAACAGAATATAAAAAAAAGATAATATTTCCTTTCCGTTAATACTATGACCTATAGCCTCTATAACCTTAAGTTTATACTATGACCTATAACCTCTATAACCTTAAGTTAATACTGTGACCTATAACCTCTATAACCTTAAGTTTATCCATGGGATTTATTTGAGACATAACATTTTGTATTCTACAATTACTCATTCCTCTCTGCCTACCAACCATCATCCATTTATTTTACTTAAATAACACACATTTAAAGGTATGGGCATTGTGTTTGTGTCCCCTATGATCAGATAATTTGTAAAATATGTATGTTTTAACCCTGTTTATGTAATTTTTTAAAACATGATAATGCTGTGAATTCCAGTTGTGTTTACATAGATTAGTTTTAACTTCTTCTTCTATATCTTAACTGATTAGCTACCAGATTTGCACAATTTCAGCTGCAGTTTTCTCAACTATCAACATATTCTAATGATTAATAAACCATTTTGTAGGTAACTGAATTGTCTATAAGATAAACTTAAAACATTTGTAAAGTTAAGTTTATTAAGAAAATTATAAATTTTTAAGCTAGTATTTTCAATAGAAAAACAATAAAAAATATATTGATGTGCCAACTTATATGTAAATTTTAAATTTCCTAATCATTTAAAGCCTTTTATTTGGTGGTTTTTAAATAGTATATCTAATAATAAGAGAAATGCACCAAAGAACAAAGAAATTGGAACAATTTTTACACTTCTTATCACTTGTATGCCTTTAGTAACACTGTCACTTGTTACCATGGTAAACATGTACATATTTATAACTAGCTGGGAAATTTTAATCAAAACTAATTTCGTTTTTTAAAACATTATGCCTATAGCATGTGTTTTTGAATATAAACATCCTGTCGGTAAATTAAAATCTTGAAGCGAAACGGGAACGGAATAATATAAATATTTTACTCGATTTACTATGATATTAACAGTGGCGCTACCAGCGGCTCGTGTGGCCATAACGAAAGAAACGCCAGCCACTCCCAGTGGCTCATGGTAGTTAACCAGTTAAGGGCCCATGATCAATTAATTGATCATTCTGGCTCCTTATTTATTTAGAGTGGATTCATGATGATTCTGTGCCTGGTATTGAAGAGAATATTTCAATGATTGCAAGGGCTACTTAGCGAGGGTATCAGGATCTAGGAGTTGGGAAGCCTGACGCAAATGTTACCATTTTGTATTTTAAGTAATTTGATATATGCCATTTTATTTTTCACTTTTAAAATTTGATGACTGAATAAAACAATAAAAATGTCACCTCCGAGTTGTGAGAGCTATGTAAGAGAGGATAATCCCGTAGAATTTTATCTTTGGTTTCCCTTGGTAGGGGAGATCTTGCTGTCAGTTCATCAAGTAAATAAATTCGCTGCTGGGCAATCCACTGTGAGATATCTGGAGTGTTATTCTGGAAATAATTTTTAACAACGAAAGTGAAATAAATGTGTCAAGCTACAGTGTCATCCAATCTAACAATAAATCCATAAAATCATTCAGAATAATCCATAACAAGATGATTAAAAACGATCAATAATAAGATAACTGAGAACAATCCATAATAAAATCATTAAGAAAATTATTTTTTTAAAATCATAACTTATTAAATATATTCTGCATCTCTTGATTTAGCTCCAATCCATAATAAAATCATTAAGAAAATTATTTTTTTAAAATCATAACTTATTAAATATATTCTGCATCTCTTGATTTAGCTCTTGTTACAATACAAAAATCTATTGATTCAAATAAATGAAAAACTTGAACTCATGATATCATCGGCTGCCTTACTTCTACATAGTTACTTGTTAGGATTTCAACGGCCTTATCTGGGTCACTGGTCAGTTCTTGGTGAGCTGATAGGTCAGGAGTGTAAGGCGGCCAGCCAGTGCCCTTTAGCCATGTTGCCACAAACTCAAAACCTGATCTTTTAATATTTAGAATAAATAAATTAAATGACGAAATCTTTTTTTTTTAAAATTCAATTTTAAAACACTATCATTTAATGTATAAAAGCAATCTTTAAATAGTCATCATCAAGTGAGGGAACATAGAATTAAAAATGCTCCAACACTAAAGATTTGTTTTCTTACTTCTCATAGACTCTCTGCTCTCTGAGTTGAGGGAAGTAGTCCAAATAAAATTCGAAGAGATTCTCAGCTACAATACTCTGAAGAATTAAAAAAACAATATTTGGGTAAGGATTTGAAGGGATAGCATATATGAAATTGAAAAGAATCAAGCATGTATTGAAAATTATATCAAGTTTAGATACATTTTAAAAAATATGTTCAATTTATTTATTTAAACAAGACTTAGCTAAACCATAAATTTGAATACAGAGTTATGTTAAGAAAATTTCACCACTCTACTTTTTTTAATAAAGTTTCTGTTAGTTACGTAAAATAATGGGAAAAATGGAGTATGTGCTCTAAAAGAAACTGAATTAATGGATCTTCATTTTATCATTTTACCTGATACTGAAATTTCTGAACATATGCTTTAAGAAATTTATCAAAAGCATTATTGTCCCCAACAAGACTGCGCAAGTAGCACACAAAAGCAAAACCTTTCTCATAAGGTGTTTCATTGTATGTGTCATCCGGGTCAACGCCAGCCTCAATGATTACACGCAGTCTGGTTAGAGGAGCATCCTGCAAGCAAACGTCATTGAATGTCATCAATCAACTCAGATAGTTCATCTTTTGAATATAACAAGATTGTGACATTTAAAAAAAAATGTTTATGGTTAGAAATGATTACCTTATGATTTGGCCAAAATAGGGTTCATTTTTACTCAGATTTTATTCCCCATTTCATTCCCATTTATTGTTTTTTAAAACTGTGCTTTGTCCCAGTTTTAAGTATTTCTAATGGATTATTTATTAAAATTATTAATAAACACTTTTTATACTATTTAATTTTCACTTTAAAAAAAACCCAACAAATTATGAAATCCAAGGGAGCTAATCAGCTTGTCACCTGCGGGAAGCTGGAAATTATTAGAATGCAAGGCAAACTATTTTGATTGAAGTGAATTTATAGCAAAAATAACACAACAAAGTAAATATTAAAAACACATTGTAATTTAAATGAACTATAAAAAAGAAGAAGTGACTTACATTGCCTTCCCTCTCAATATGTTTTCTCAGTAACTCCCTTCTTGTCTTAGCTTCCAGACACATAAATGAGTTCCCAAAGCATTCCTCCTCAATCCGGCGCTGGCCAAACATGGTCAAACCCTTTTTTGCATAAAAAGAAAATTATTACCAAATATCCCAACAAGATGTTTGAGATTTTCCCACAACTAAGACTTATACAGGAGGGTTGTACAAACCTCATTTAGCCAGAATTCACTCCAGTTGGCATTTGTCACCAGGTTGCCAAACCAGCTGTGTGTCTGGGTGGATGGGAAAAAAAGCAACAGCTTTACATTAACTCTCCACAGTCACATCAGATCATTAAAAAAACAACTACTAAAATAATGCTGATTTAATTCAGAGATCCAAATTTGAGGATGTGATGTAAAACAAGAATCTCCAAGTCACTAATGTATTATTTGTAGAACAAATCATGAAATTTATGATGAACTAAAAATTATTTATTCATGATTGAAAAGCATTAAAATAATTAGGCATAATTACTTGAATCCCTGACTCTATGGGTGGCAAGAACGCCTGTCACCATCCTCACACTCCATGAATGCCCCCCCCCCCCCCCCCCCCCCCTCCCCTTATTCTATGAATCCCCCCCCCCCCTTTCGGTGAATTTTCCCCTGCTTAAACCATTGACAACCCCTTACTCAGTGAAATGTCAACCCTTCACTCTATGAAATGCCACTTCCTTACTGCATGAATTGCCATCCACCTTATCCTGTTATTTTCCACCCCATGCTCTGTGAATTGTCTGCCCCCAGGGCTGGCCTTAGGATTGCTGGGGCCCTGGGCAAGCTTAACGTTGGCGCCACTTTTAAGCATAATCATAAAAAATTGTGCATGGAACAAACTGGGGATGAGGTAATGAGTTTATTACCTAGGTTGTTTTTTTTAACAAACAATGAATAGTAAAATTGTTTTTATATATTTGTATTTGGACAGTATGAACAATTAGCCTCCCATGGACAGTATGAATAATTAGCGTACCGTGGGCAGTATAAATAATAAGCCTTCCATGGGCAGTATAAACAATTAGCTTACCACAGGCAGTATAAACAATTAGCCTACCGATGACATTTTATTTGTAGCCTTTAGATCAGCAAATCTTTTTATTGCCCTTTCTCTGTTTCTTCCATGGCGCCCACATGCTATGTTATTTGCTATTTTGGAAGATCATTGATGGCGCTCCGGGCAACTGCCCAAGTTGCTGGCAACTTGAGCTGGCGCTGCCTGCCCCATGAGTCTACATAACTAGCTCTGCTGACATGTCATTAAGTAATGCGTTACATCAATTACTCACAATTTCATGAATAGCAACATCAATCATGGATTTGTCACCAACAACAAGACACGGGGTGACAAATGTGAGACATGGATTCTCCATTCCACCATAGGGGAAAGAATGGGGCATAATCAAGATATCGTATTTCTCCCAGACATATTCTCCAAAGAGTTCTTCCCCTTTTTGGATGAATCTTTCAATACCATCAAACTCTCTTTGTGCTCTGTCCTATATTCAAGATAGAGTATACACAATTTTGTTTTATAAACAATATGAACTAAAAGAACCATCTATACTGCCTGCACAATGTAAAGTATATTCAATCGGTGAAGTAGTATTAAGTATAACCTAACTTAGCAGGTCAGTAAACCATGAAGTCTTAGATACATTCAACATTCTCTGACCAAAAGTTGAGAACTGGCAGTTAATAATAATATATTTTTTAATCCAGCTCTTATATATGTAAAGATTCAAACAATTGTAGGAAAATTCATGATTTCAAAACAACAATCAACTTACCAGCACACTTGGCTCTGCCCACACATGACTTCTTGGTCCAATACTGGCAGATTTGATGTCCCCAACAGCCAGAGCAATCAGGTAAGAAGGGATTGGTATTGTCAGCTATCAATGTAAACAGTTTGAATACAATTAATGAGCAGTTCTGAGAGATAATCTTAATGGAATTCAATTAACAACTAAAATTTGGAGAAAAAGAAAAAATTCATCAATTTATTAGATAAGCAACAAATTTTTTTTTTTAAAGTAGAGCATGAATAATGTAATGAGATTTTTTTTTAATGCTATTTTCTTAACCCCCTCCCCCAGCCAGGACATATTTTCAATACTTGCATATTATGATGATTTTTTTTTCAATCCCATAGCTAATCGGCTGATCCCAAATGACTACATTCTGATAGCGATGTTTATCACACCAAAATCATATTGACCTCTGACCTCACCTCAAAATAGAAACAGTTCTTGTCTCCTGCTCTGTTCTCTCTGTCACCAAAACTGTTTCTGTTGGCACTCATGACAGCTGTGAATCCCTCCGGGACTTTAACAAAGGCTGAATATGTGGCTTTGACAGCTGGTGTGTCTTGGCACGGGAAGATGGACCTGTTCAACACCGACTGACCTTGGGTGTACATGAATGGCTTCTTTTTGTCTAAGCATAGAAAGAGTATGATGAATTTTAATTCTTTCCCACATTTTGTGACAGAAGATGTAGAGTCAAAATTATTTAACCACAAAAACATAATATCGCTTGATGTTCATATAACTGAAAATTCCAGATACAAGCTTTAAAAGATTGCAGTTTTATTGAACAGAAATCATGTCTTATTTCTTTAAACAGTCAATTTTAAAGATTTAATTATTTTATATAGATTTTCCAAAAAAAGTATTTGCTAATATATTTAGAAACAGAGGCAGAATTAATTAGTAAAATGCAAGACATGGAAATCTTAGCTAAAAATTTCAAACGGATAATTAAATACTTATTTATATAAAATACAAAGTTATTTTTACTTTAGTAAACTATCAGACAAATCTTACACATGAGTTGAAAATTAGCCATTTTACTATCAGAGAAATCTTATACATGAGTTAAAAATCAGCTATTTTACTATCAGACAAATCTTATAGATGAGTTGAAAATCAGCCATTTTACTATCAGACTAATCTTATAGATGAGTTGAAAATCAGCCACTTTACTATCAGACAAATGTTATAGATAAGTTGAAAATCAGCCAATTTACTATCAGACTAATCTTATAGATGAGTTGAAAATCAGCTATTTTACCGGCAGTTTGCTGTGGTGTCAACCAACTCACTCCTGCACCCCCAGGATTGGAAACAAATTCTATCTCAAGATCAAATGTTTCCCCTTTCTGTTTGGGCTTTAACAACTGGAAAAAAAAAAATTAAAATGTTTCTAGTGATTGCAACATACAAAACATGACATCAAGGTTAAGACAATTAAATTGAATGTCATTTAAGGGGGTATGATTCTGTTAGTGTTACTTCTGATTTGTTTTATCCTCACTTGTTTTATCTGACAGGAGCTATGTTAAATACAATTTAGCTTTTGCTTCCATTATTTTCCTAAATCTTTCAGAAGATAAAAGAAAATGCAAAATTTGCTCAATGGTGGCAAAGGTTAAAAAATAAACTGTGATAAAGAGTTTTCGAAAATACCTTGATTATTAAACGTGTGCCATAACTTGCAAAAGGTTCAATTACAAAGTCCAAATTATTTTGGCTTTGTGTCTCTTTTATTTGGGAGATGGCCAAATTTTTCTGTGCGTCAAGAATTACTGCAGTATAAAGAAGAAAAAAATAAATATTTACAGCAGTCATCTGAGTCTCTGCAATTGGGTTACTGGGATTTTTTCTTCAAAATTTGTTTTATTCAAAAGTTTACATTGCCCCCATTTGTCACACAACACAAAAAAGCCTTTAAAAATCATTTAAAAATAAATAAATCTCCATTTATCTAATATTTTGAAAAAAAACTTATGAACAATTTTTCAAACAAATTTCTTTCAAACAAATTTTCAGGTAAGCAAAAATTGCCACCACACATATCATTTATATGTTTGAGATATTGCTTAATTTGTTGTCTTTAGTGAAAATTTGTTACTTAATTTGAGCATGAGTATATTCAATTAGGATATCAAGATTTTGTATTTAGAACTAAAATGTTTATCTCTTCGATAATTTAAATTTAAAAAAAGACACTTAGAGGGCTTTAAACAATCAGACTTTGCCTATTATAAGCCACCTTGATATCGTTTAGCTGAGGGGGAGAGCTGGAAATTAAATCTTTACTATTTATAATACTCATAAGTTTGACATACCTGTCCCAAGCTCATTTACGAGACTCTTCAAAGACAGTTTCAACCATCCAGTGATTTTACTGTCATCAAAATTGATGGTCATGTCAAGGTGTAGGTGAGTAGTTCTAACTTCTTTGAAGTTAGAGCAAGTGGCAACATCATCCACATCCTCTTGTTGTAGTCCAGCCATGTTGTTGGAGGTTAAATTATTAGTCTGTAAGTAAATAACAATTTATCATTCAATAATTTGTTAACTTATTGAAAAAAATTAATTTAGTTAAAATAACTAAAATGTTAAAATTATTAGTTACTGTTTTATTCTTTGTAATTCAAATAATAACTATGGAACTCAAATGTAAGATTAAAAAGATAATATTTCTAAAAATTGTATACCGTATGTGAAAATAGCTTATGGCATGCAGCTTGTGAAATATATATTTTCAATAAAAAGGTTGTCTGCTTTTTTGTATCTCTGTGTATTTTTAAAAGAATAATGATACAATTAAAACCTATTAAAATAAATAGTGGAAAATGATATTTTAGCCTTGAAAACAAAAGATATGACTTTTAAATGGAATTTTGGCTTTGGCTTGATGCTTTTGTCAGCAGACCATACAAATATAAAACAAGAAAAAACATGTTAAATTAAAATTAGAAATAAAAAAACTTAAATCTATGTTTTTGAAAATCTCAATAATTTAATGTCAGTAATTTATACCTTAAAATTTTAAAAAATCCTAGGCCTTTATTTTTAGTTAGATGTGATAATCCTATACTTATTCTTTCAAATCATCATATGACTAAGCTTTAACTTTAACTCTAATGCCTGACTGTCTTAAGTCATGACTTATCTGAGGCCTACAAGTGATCAGTTATGCTTCCATTTTAATTTTAAATTAATAATATAATAATGATTTCAATGAATTAAATTTCAAAAGAACCGACCTTGTTACTTTTATATATTTTACTTTACTGAAAGTTGTCTTAATAAATTTAAGGACTAAAATCTAATGACTAATACTAAGTCAAATAATGAATGTAGTCTTGGGCTGGGAGGCAATGTTGCCTTTAAGCTGCACAGACTCCGCGAAGGAGTTTTGAACAGTTTTGAGTATCCGCGCAGCAAATTTCCATGTATATGCGTGTTTGTGGGCTGCAAAATTTTGCACACAAAAAAAATTGATACTGTAAAACTTTGCACATAACTGTATGATTTTGCACACGAACCAACAAACCTTAGAGGGAACATGCTGGGAGTCCTGGGAGGGTGGAGATTACTGGCCCGGCTTGTGACAGGCCCCGCGCCGAATAAAATTCAAATCAACAAGTCAAAGTCAAACTCAACCATATTTACAAAAAGCCATCGATTGAATGTGAAATAGGCTGAATGTGATGTGCCTCATGGCATGCCGTAATATACGTTGATAAGTTTATTTCCAATATCAATTTCTAAGTGAACATCACTTATTATATTGCAACTTGGAATTAAGTTTAAGATTTAGTAACCAAGGGGATTTAAAAGAGGCGACACCCCCTTTGAACTTTCGATTTCACGCAAAGCTTTTTCCGGTGGAAATTAAACCATTCGGCGTTAAATTAAAAAACTTAATTTTTAAATTAGAAAGTTATAATACGTTACGTTTACGTACAATTGCTTTTTAAAGAAAATTGTTTAATCTTTACGCCATAAATATAAAATTTGGACGTAGCACTTTATTTAAGTTGTGAAATGAGAATGATTGAATTTATTTTAGAATGTAAGCTCTCTCTACAATTATTGTCAGCCGATATACTCCGCAAAATGTCCTTACCGTCGTAATCTTTATGATTTTATGAGCGCTTTTCACTACGTCATGAAATTCATTCGATTTCTAACATATGTATCACACTGCACATTAACAAATACGGAGGCACTCCACCAAAACGTGAATAAATTCCATGTAGATCGATTGATCATGTTGGCTACTACAAGATCTTCACTAAAAAATTGGGGTGGCGCCAAGAGTTCTATTGTGCCTTGTGCAATTTCCCTGAAAACCGCCAGCCAGCGTTGCGGTCACTGTGACATGCGGCACGCCAACCTAATCGATAGATTTAAAATTTTTTAAAGAAACTGAAGACCTCGAGACTGAACTACAGGAACATTTGAACTACCCTCACAGGTTGCATTCGAACACTGTAAAACTTAATCCTTATTAACACACGCTGTTTTCTACAGTTTGACATTTGAGGCTGTCTTTTTTTTTTTTTTTTTTTTTTGTTATTAAAATGGTTGGCCTTTAAAGTGTTAAAATTTGTTTGCCGTTGTCACAACTCTAGACTTTGGATATCTAAGCAAAGATTGTGAAGTTAATTACCAGTATTTCATTGAGAAGAAGACACAGATCACTAGAGCCTGACTTTAAGGAGGGCACTGGTCACTTTTCGGTTTTGTGGCGCCTGTATTTAAAGCAGTGGCGATGATAGGGTTAGTGCCTCCCAGACCGGGCCAAGATATTTGACACCCCTTCCAACAAAAAAAAAACAACAACATACAGTTAACAAGACTTCACCGTGCCTGAGCGACCCAACACCACCGTGCCTACACGACCCGATCTCACCGTGCCTACATGACCCCCACTGTGCCCACAATATCGGATGACAGGGCAAATTCAAACGATCTAGTTGAAAACAAAGAGCAGCCTCTTGGAGTTGCCATGGTAACCTAATAGATGTCCACGCGACGTAATGTACGGGGGATTATTGATGATACAGGGATGTGTGTGATGCTTGACAATGTGTCGGACAGTGTGTCGGACAATGATTAGTTGTTGATGCTAGTCAGAACCCACCCCCCACCCCCTATCTAGATAAACACGATTAAATGTGTCTCATTGTTCACATGACCGTAGGGTGAACAGGCACTGACCAACGAGAGAGTGGTCAAACCAAAATTCAATTAAGTTATTAATACACTACATACGTTAGAATGTTATAATACCAAAGTCCTAAATGGAGGTCGGCTAAAGACAGGGGCGGACCCAGGACACAATTGACTTGTGGGAAAACCAATGAATATTTCACTCAAACGATTTCATTTTCTCTAAAGCTAATAGTAAAAAAAAAAAAAAAAATGACACCAATGTCAAGGTGAAAACGTTCCAGGATCCACTCTCCACACACATACACACACACCCGATTTGGCATCACGGGGCTTGAAACTAAATGGCCCACATGTTGGCCACGCCCGTGCCCATGAGACCACGTTTGTTTTATCGCCTACTGACGGGACGCAAGCTGTTCAGCAGTTTGGTAGGGAACAACTCGAAAGCATTAGGTGTTGTACATCATTAGGAAGGGGGATGTTGAGGGAGCTGACCGCCTGAGGCGGCACTTTTTCCCTTTAGACGGAGGGAACAACCTCATTTTTGAAACTTCTGATCGCCAAAAATTTTATTTATATTACCTAAATCTCCCAATGCCCCAACTCTGGCACCCTCTTAATTACGCCCCCCCTCCACACCCTCGCCGCCTCTTAATAACCCCCCCCCCAACACTCTGGCCCCCTCTTAATACCAGGCAAAGTTTCTAAATTTTCTTTATATTACCTAACTCTCCCAATGCCCCAACCCCGGCACCCTCTTAATTACGCCCCCCCCCCACCCCCCCGCCGCCTCTTAATAACCCCCCCCCCAACACTCTGGCCCCCTCTTAATACCAGGCAAAGTTTCTGCCCAGACCATTCTCCTTGTCAGCATGTTTTATCGCTTATCGATTCACCTTCACTGACACAAGTCAACAATCCAAAGCCGATTTTCTTGAAAAACTTCTCAAGTCAGTACAGACCAAGCAGATTATTTATACAAGTCGTGCATACACCGAGTCTAACTTCTATGCCTAGGGTGCAGGCAGCGACGTAGCAATGGTTAGTGCCACCCCCGGGGGGGGGGGGAGAGGCAAAATTTTTGGGACCCTTAACAACGAAAATTTTTTGGGCCAAAATGCACCCCCCCCCCCCCCAAAACATACTTTTTACATTTAATGAAGAAAAAAAAAGTACTGTTAGGGGCAGACCCCTCCCCTATGCACGCCCCCTTCCTGAGCCTAAATTGAGAAACATGTGGCTACTTTCAGTATCTTCTAATTAAAAAAAGAGCACATTAGCGAAGCCAGTAGTTGTCATGAGTCAGTGTCCCCTTACAAAAGTCTGGCAAAGTAGTGGTACTGGGGGATTTCATGCCCGACCCCTTGTAAATGTGTTACAAAGCTGAGCGAAGTAAAAAAGAAAATTTAGTACCTGTAATTAAGCTATTCATTTACACGTGTGATAATTCAGTCATTAACAAACCATATCCTTATAAATTATTTTTATACTAGGGCTTAACTTGGTTGGGGGGGGGGGGGTAGTTTCTTTTTTTACACCAGGTCAGGTTATTTTGAAAAAATATTTGGTGGGTCCAAGAGTTACCAAAAGAAAGTTACCTTCTCTCCTTTTCTATAATTTACGCCGCCTTTTACACTGGGGGGGGGGGGGGGGGGGGTAGTTTCTTTTTTTACACCAGGTCAGGGTATTTTGAAAAAATACTTGGTGGGTCCAAGAGTTACCAAAAGAAAGTTACCTTCTCTCCTTTTCTATAATGTACGCCGGCCTTTACACATGCAGCCTACCTGTCGGCCTTTAAACAACTGACCTACAGACAGTACTACGGACTGTCCGACACCATACGCATGGTTCTTTATTATTAATATAATAGTTGCCTCTGAATAAATTCCAACGTCGCGTATGACGCTCCCTTTTTTTTTTCCCCCACTCATTACTATTAATAATTGATATAAAACGTGTTGAGTAGGTAGAAGGCTGGTTGTTGAAAGGAAGCTGCAACACCAAAACCAAAATATATATATATTATATGATATTTTTTTTATGCCCTCATCTTATGCCATTAACATTTTGATGGATTGATGGATGAACTAAAATTGTCTCTAGGACAAACACGCTAATATTACCAGTGCCAAAAATGGCCAGCATTACTATCAATACAAAAAAGTAGCTGTGTTATTTTTTATTGACTTAAAATATTCGGACCCCCCTCCCCTTGCGACAAAAAATCTAAATCAACACCACCTTCTTCCCTTCTCAGAGTAAACGTAACATAATTATAGATGGCCCCCAACCAATCATATTTCTTGATCCATTCACGGCTGGATGTAGAAAGGAGCTCAAATTAGCAACCAAAAACATACTTTTTATTTATTTTTTTTTAAATCAGAAAAAAGTAGAGGAATGTATATAGACATCTCAAAATCATACATTGCACTCCAAAATCGTAAGAGTAAAAAGGCCTGGGATATGCATAATATAATAAATACCAGGATAATGTGATAAGAAATCGAAATGAAAAAGATTTAGAACAGTTACAAAGACATTTTCTAGCGTAGCTATGTATAAAACTTTTTTTAAGAGGAAAGAAAAATTAGAAAATAACTTTTGGTAGGATTTCCCTGATGTCCTCTCGTACACTGGGATGGAGGAAGTCTTGTGTTTCCTGGAATACTTTGACAGCAAGCTGTCTCAGTTCATCAGATCCCTTCACCATGGCTTGATATAGTGGTTTGGTATATTTCTTTTTACCTATGAATTCAGTTGAAATTATTTGACTAAACACACACTTTCTCTCTAAATCTGGATTTTAGGTCAAAGTGTTTCTCTTTAAAAGTGATCACTTAGAAATAAAAATTATTAAAAATTTTATGACGCAAATAAAGTAAAAATCTGGCCTTTCAATTGAACATATATAAATTTCTTTTAAATTATTCAAAATTTTAAACTTATTAACGTCCAACTAGTATCTATAAAAAAAACAAAGGTGTAGTACATCCAATTTATTCCCCAATGGAATCAGTTTATCCTCCACAGTTTATAAATAGTTTACATTTAAGTAAAAATTCCCACTTTGCTTTATTTTGATGAATACCTCAAATGAGTCTAGACCTTACCCCATGCTGACTATGATTCTATTTTAATTAATAATCAATACCAACACAAAATGAGTTTATTATGCATTTAATATATAGAGTGTCTGAAAATTTATAATTATATAGAAATGTCAATTTGAGAAAGAAATGCAAGCATTTATTTACCTTGACTGTGCAAAAATTGCCTTATGTCCTCAAAGTTGTCAGATAATTCATTTTTTATCACCAACTCACACCAACGTAGTCGAATCTTAACATAAAATATAAAAGATTACAAATCATTTCCATTAGAATACAATCTAAATTTGAATTAATCACACATAATTTCAAACTTTTTAAAATATTGATAGCAAATGAAAAATTCATATTCCAACAATCAAGCTAAATAAACAGTTTTCCTCAAAATTGAAAACTCAGCTGAAAACTCATGATCATAATGTGTATACATTAATGAATAAACAGAACACTATGATTACTATGAATGCATGAAAATATATGGAATTTTAAAATTTTAACACTATATTATAACCAGCCCATCAGCTCCTACCTCTGCATTTGGAGAGCTATGCACTTGTGGATATTCTTGAAGAATTCTCTGTAAACCCTCTTTTGGTAGAGATGTTTGATTAATTTCATCCAAGAAATACATCAACTGATATGCCTTCCATGACTTCATTTCAGGAGCCTCAGTCTGGAATGTTAGATTTATAAAATATACTTCAGAGTCAAGTACATACATCCAAGTTTTCTATGATACTTTTCAGCATCCTATAGCAACATAGAAATATTTTACAAATTTGTAGAATTATGATCACTAGTGATTAAAACAACTGATTCTTGAAAACTGTCTAAATATGTAAATAACTGATTTCAGATAATGACATTATTGCTGACCAATTTTCAAATACTTTAAGTATTATTTTAACTTTTTTGACATAATTGTTTTTTGAAACAGTTATCTTAAAGCAAAGCCAGATAAGGTAATGAACAATGAGTTCCACCTGAAAAAAATTGTGAAAACAGACAATTTAAAGTTACAAGATTTCTTTAAAAAAACAAACTACTTTCAGACCTAATAATCAAGGAGCGTATTTTTAAACTAACGACAGTAAATGTTAGACTATTTATGTTTATAAACTATACAAAAGAAAAGTGACATGAACTTAATATGAAGATATTATATAAAACATTAAAAAAACAACAGATAATTTATAAGAAGCAGCAATGCTCCCTCGCTGCCCCAACCAAGTGGATCAACAAATAAAGCCAATATAACTTTGCGCAGTTACATTCAGTAACATTACATTGCTTTCAAATTAATTTCAATCAACTTGGACACAGCTGATCCATGTGAGCTAGATAACAGAAGTCTTGACATCCTAAATTCCATATACAGCAGTGAAAGAACAGACCCGCACAAATCCCTGTAGAATGAGAAATTTCAGAAAAGAAAGTGGAGACGGATAGATCAGGCCATGCATAAACCCAAGGCGAATATGACAAGAAAAGCATTGGTATAGAATCAGCAGGGAACAAAGATGGGAAATATTTAAAGAAGATGGCAAGAGATTGAAGGCTTTGAAAGTAATTCTTAATGGCCTATGTTCCAATGGGGGTTGAAAAGGCAAAGAATAAGGGAGAATCTCGAGATCTTACTTGCGTGTTTAGGCTGGTAAAGCTAAGTACAGCCTTATCCCCTTCAGCAGTCAGAATCCTGTGAGCAGATATGTCAGGGGTGTAAGGCGGCCAGCCAGTGCCATTCAGCCAAGTTGCCACAAACTCAAAACCTGGTCTAAATATGTGATGAAAGTGAAAGGCAAGTCAAATAAAAATTATTTAAAAAAAAAAAAGAAAGTAAATCCTTTGAATTAAAAGAAAATAACTAAAAATCCCACATACCATCCATTGCCTGCTACATTTTTAAAAAAAACTTATCCAAGGAACAATAAACAAGGTGTGTCCCAAATACTTAAGAAAATTATTTAAAATGAAACAAATTCTCTCTGCTCGTACTTTTCATGAACTCTCTGTTCTCGAAGTTCAGGAAAATAATCCAAATAAAACTCGAAAAGATCCTCAGACACTATGCTCTGAAAATTCAAAACATTGAGTATTTAATATTAGACTGAAAAGAAGCAATTAATATCCAAACCAAAATAATCATACCATCAAAATTAAAACCATTAATTAAAGTTATTAAATTATTTCAAAATAAATAAATTTGAAAACATCTATATAATTCTTTGTTTCAAACATTAATATTTAATTTAGTACCTGGTACTTAAACTTCTGAATGTATGCTCGAAGAAATCCATCAAAAGCATTATTGTCGCCAACAAGACTCCGCAAGTAGCACACAAATGCAAAACCTTTCTCATATGGAGTTTCATTGTACGTGTCATCGGGGTCAACACCAGGTTCAATGATGACACGGAGTTTAGTTAAAGGAGCGTTCTGGGGAGAAATAGGAGACACCCCAGTAAAATACATATCATCATCAGAGGCACTAGAGCCCATGTTGGGTCCTGGCCTGCCCCACATAATCCTTCCATTAAGACATCATCATCAGTGGCACTAGAGCCCATGTAGGGTCCTGGCCTGCTCCAAATAATCCTTCCATTAAGACATCATCATCAGAGGCACTAGAGCCCATGTAGGGTCCTGGCCTGCTCCAAATAATCCTTCCATTAAGACATCATCATCAGTAATGCTAGAGCCCACGTAGTATTCCATTCGGATCAATCCATGGCTTTCCCCACTCCAAGCGCGGACCCCCAGCTGGTCAAGTCCTTCTCTACATCGTCTATCCATCTCAGTCTAGGTCGAACCATGAGTCATCATCTGCCCCTAGATTTCTGCCCGCAGATCACTTTTCCTGCTTTAGGATCCAGCATCCTCTCAAGGTGTTCTGTCTCGCAGAGTCAGCCCCCTTTTTTAATTGTTGCAACTATGGGTGGATTTTCCCAAAATTGACACATCTCATGGTTTGTATAATACATGTTTAAAATTGTGTGTATTTATTTTCAAATATGACAAAGACTGTGTAAGAAAATCATTAAAAAAAACTACAAAGAAATAACAGAGCTCATAAACATAAATTGTGTTTTAAAACTTACTTCCCCTTCATTGTCTATATGTTTTCTCAATAATTCCTGTCCTGTTTTGGCTTCCAAACACATCAAATCATGACCATAGATTTCCTCTTCAATTCTTCTTTGACCAAACATAGTGAATCCCTAGTAAGTTGACAAGGAAATAAGGTAAGTTCAATAAATTTGTCTTCAGTTATGAACAAAAGAAAAAAAAATTAACAGCTGCAAATGAATTTGTTGAAAATGTGCTGATTTATAATGTTTTACAGTACCGTATACACTGAATACTATTTTTGTTGAACAGAATGCACTGAACAATAAACTTATGTTAAAAAAAGCAATAATTATACTTACTTCATTAAGCCAGAATTCACTCCAGTTGCCATTTGTTACCAGGTTACCAAACCAGCTGTGTGTCTGGGTGAGGGAATAAGTCATAGCACAACAAAAAAGAATTGAAATACTAATATTTTATGGAAAATAAATTTTTGAATTTCGAAAAAGTCTCATGGATGTGAAATGCAATGAGTTATAAATATGTGAATCAAATAATAAATTTTCATATAGTAAATGAGTTTTAATAAAGCCATTTTATTTCTTAAATATCCGAATAAGAAATCAACTCAACATTAAATTATAAGTACTCACAATTTCATGAATAACAACATCTACCAAGGATTTATCCCCAACAACAATGCATGGTGTGACAAATGTTAGACATGGATTCTCCATGCCGCCATATGGGAAAGAAGGAGGCATAATAAGGATGTCATACTTTTCCCAAACATATTCACTAAAAATCCTCTCTCCCGTTGCAAGAAATTCTTCCACAATTCCATCAAATTCTGCATGAGCCTTGTCCTATGAATACAACAATGGTTATATTACTGCAGCTTTTTTGTGTCTTTCCCAATTCAGACATAAAAATTTCATTTAAAAAAAAAGAAATCATGGGGTAAGTTTCAAATATTGAGAAATCTAAAAAGTTTAAGCTACACTAAATAAACCAAAAATTCAAATATGCATGCCTAAAATAATTAACAGGCTATATATATATTCTTCATGTGGAGTTTAACAAATTATTTTTAAATTATAAGTTCTATACCAAACTATTGTACAGTATTTAATGTAAAAAGTTAGAGTGCAAAAAAGTTACCTTTTAAATTTTAACTACCCAGATTTAACAAATTTGAAACAAATCCAAAGGGAATAACATAAACAAATTAAAATTTGTGTTTTGATTTTTAATTTTTTAAAACAAGTTGTCAAGACACAAATAAAAGATTTATATTTCTCCATGCTTGATGTGAAATAAATGGAATTAGTGAATTAGCCATCTTGACAAAAATCATTCTGCAAAAGTCAAATAAATGCTATACAGAACCAGAAATACAAATTGGCTTACAAGTACACTAGGTTCAGCCCATACATGACTTCTTGGTCCAATCCTGGCAGACTTGATGAACCCAACAGCAAGAGCAATCAAATAGGATTGGATAGGTGTGGTTTGCTGATAGTAAATAAAAAAAAGATAACACTTTAAATATCCTAAAGCCCTTAAACACATACTCTTAAGATATTAAAAATAATTTCCAAGCAAATTATTACCGACTCATACCATATATATTTAATATTAAGTATAATCTTTTACCATATTACATTTTCATTAATTAAAAATGTATACCCTTCGTTCTTGCATTAATTTATTTACTTATTCATAATAAAATCATTTGTATATAACTATTACATTTGATTGGCAATAACAGAACATCTCAGTCATCTGTTAATACATGATGTGCACTCATCTTTTAGATAACTTAAATGGCTTATGGAAATATTCAGGCTTTCACTTGTGTTTTTATAAAGACCTCTAAGATTTATCCCAAATTATTGACCTCACCTCAAAAAAGAAACAGTTCTTGTCTCCTGCTCTGTTCCCCCTGTCACCAAAACTATTTCTGTTGGCACTCATGACAGCTGTGAGTCCCTCGGGGACTTTAACAAAGGCTGAGTATGTGGCTTTGACAGCTGGCGTGTCCTGGCATGGGAAGAAGGACCTGTTCAACACAGACTGGCCTTGGGTGTACATGAATGGCTTAACTTTATCTGTGCAAGAGGAGAAAATGGATTACCTTTATCTTACTGTTTAAAAAAACACTCTTGTGTAAAATAACACAAACAATCTTTAGTTATGGACATGGTCTAAAAAAATATTTCTACAAATTTTATTTTTGACTGATGACTGTAAATATCAGTGTATCTAATTTTTTATTCCATTAAAAATTAATTCACTTGGAAATAAAACATATAACACAACTTTTTTTTTACACTTAGAAAGTGCTGAGAATTATTATAAAGGTTAATGGCTCATATTATGAAAAACTGAACAATTTTTTTCCAGCTGATTGAGTTTAATAGTCTATATTCTTTAAATGTATGCAGTGAGGAGAGAAAAAAACCCATGGCATGGGCCATGCTCATAAATACTGGTGCAGAACATTATTTGTTAACCAATACCTGCAGTTTGTTGAGGCTCAAGCCAGCTGACTGCTGGCCCACCCTGACTGACAACATAGTCTATCTCAAGGATAAACTCATCACCTATACTTTTAGCATGGGCCAACTGAAAAATAAATGTACCAACGGAAAAATGAATGTGCCATCTGAAATATAAATATGTAAACTACTAACTATATGAAAGTGCACACTGTAATATCAAAATTCTATGCATTAAAAATCATATTTTTTTACCATGAACTGTATCTTATCCCCCCCACCCAATTTTTTTTTTTTTAAGGCTTTGTTAATAAATCCCTATTGCTGAATCACTTGCATGGCTAAAATAACAACTCAAAATTGAAGGTTTAAAATAAATGTTGACTAGTAAGTAAATTCTTCTAGCCTTGATGGTTAAGCTTTGCCCATAATTTGCAAATGGTTGTATTGAAAATTCCAAGCTGGCTCCGCTTTGCTGTTCTCTGACTTGTGAGACTGACAGCTTCTCATGCACATCAAGAATTACTGAAATTAACAAATAATATATCTTAATGAACTAATTAAAGGCTCATTACAAGGACACACCCCCCCCCCCAAAGAAAATTTTGAATCTGTTTCATTATAGAGATATTTAAAAATGGAGATTAGTTATGCCATGGCGTGTACTCTTTATGATATTAATGGCAAATCAAGGAAACAATTGAATCTATACTTTAAAGTTAAAAATATTATGAACAAGTTTTTGAACACGTAACAAGATATAGAAAGAGTTACGAGAACTAATTTAATTTTCTATGATGTTTTGTTTACCTGTTGCTATATCATTTTTGAGACTCTTCAAAGAAACTCTCAAAAATCCTATAACTTTTTTTTCTTCAAAAAGGACACTTAGATCAAGGTGCAGATGTGTTGCCCTGACATCTTTAAAGTTAGATGATGTCGCAACATCAACATTATCTGCACGTAAGCCAGCCATTGCATTCAGTTCTAGTTCTATTTTCTGTTTAGGAAAAAAAAAAAAATCTCTATTCATCCTTTTCAACACGATTTTTATTGGGCACATTAAGTTCCAAAACTATAACAAGCAATTTTTTCTCTCGTCTTCAAGTCTATAAATTAGTCCACAGGGCAGGGTGGACAGTCGGAGAATAAAGCCTGTGTCAAATATTTTAATTAGAAGTTAGTGATGGCATAAAACATTAGTGATGAGTTCGCCTCCTTGTAAATAATTTGTTAATAATATCCTAGGATGTAGCTCCTCCTGACCTCACACAAAGTAACACAAGTCGTAAATTGAACAAAAAAGAAAGGTTAAAAACTGCAGCATGATTAATTATTAATTTACAAACACAATATTAAATTTAAATATATAATAAATAATATTATGTTTATGTATTAAACTATAATAATATACATTTTCGACATTGTTAATTATGTGTTACATTATATTATATGTATGTCTAGTCTGATTTGTCTGTGAAACAACCAGACCTAAGCATGTAGCCTAAGTAATGTAATTTATTGTAATTTTAATTATATTTTATTATTATTGTAACCTAAGACTAAGACCTAAGATAGTAAAATGCAGACTGCTAGTGATGTGAAGTTTCCAAACTGGGGCAAACTGCAACAAAAATCAAAAGTAGCCCGAGAATAACGATAATAGCGTTTCTGTTCTGTTATGATTTGTTTTGTGGGTTGCTTTCGTGATTCTTTTTGTTGTAGGCGTGTTTTGGTTTGTGTTTGAAATGTTATTTGTTTGTTCATTACTACATTAGTTGGACCGTTTGGGGAAAAAAAGGGAAAGGGGGGGGGGGGGTTGAATAGCATTCTGGGGATAGAACTAGATGTGGTTGGTTGACGTTTAAACTGAATGTCAATAAACAGGCCACTATGATTATAATTTAATATAATATGCATACTATTAAATTTTGTTGTAGGCGTGTTTTGGTTTGTGTTTGAAATGTTATTTGTTTGTTCATTACTACATTAGTTGGACCGTTTGGGGAAAAAAAGGGAAAGGGGGGGGGGGGTTGAATAGCATTCTGAGGATAGAACTAGATGTGGTTGGTTGACGTTTAAACTGAATGTCAATAAACAGGCCACTATGATTATAATTTAATATAATATGCATACTATTAAATAAAATAATACTATTAATAGTATTAGAAGTAGAAGTATTCAGTTGGCTATTGCGATTGCGGCAACTGAGCCGACTGTGTGAACAGTGAATGGTTTTGATTCTCAGACTCAGAGTGGTTATTTTTTCTCTCAGGAGTTTTATAGTAATTTGTAAAAGAAATGTCATGCTTGAAGCCATTATCAACAACATCGAGTGTCGAAAATTAACACGTGTAAAACAGTTGAGAAATACCAGAAAGTGTTACTCACTGTACAGTCACAGTTCACTTAGTGGAGACGGTGGGGGTATACCGACGGTGGGTAGCAGGAATTGAATAAAAAGACTAAATCATTTACAATATGAATTGATGACTTGATAAAAGAAGTTAAATTGGGATATAACTATACAAAAGGGATGACCATGAATCTGACCCAGCTTTAAAAAAATAATAATTTAATCGCTCAATCCTTGTATTATACACGCATCACCCCCAATAACAATTTTACATGCTTAACTTTTACCTCTCTCACTCCTACGTCAGACCCGCCCACTTTCCTGTTTCGTTTTCTTCTTTCGGTTCATTTCCGGGTCAACTTTATTTTTAAAATATGCATTTAATAATTTATATTTTTTGAATACTTCATAACAAAAAAGTTAATCATATAGTTTATAAACACATTGAGCACGATCCCGAAACTTTTTGATAAATTCAAAATGCAAGGATTCATATTTGCCCATACTTGAATTTAGTTTTCTGCAAATCTACACAGAGAAATGCTAAGATAATAATTTTCTAAAAAGCAAAGAGATATTTATGTTCTTGTTACTAAATATTAATGTTATTTAATAATATTTATTTATATCATTAGGGGCATCCATAAATGACGTCAAGCAAATTTTGCCGCTTTTTACCCCCCCCCTCCCCCCATCGTCACAAGACGTCACAAAAAGTTAGCCCCCCCCCCTCAAATATAACNCACTAGATCAGTGGTTCTTTAACAGGGGTACAAGTACCTCCCCAGCCTTGAGGTGCGGGAGACAAACAAATTGTATTCAGTGGTCAGTGGCGTAGCTAGGGGTGGGGGGCGGACCGCACCAGCCGAGACCATCTCAGGGGGTGACACCAAATTGAAAGATGGCGTAATTGTCAAGGTTGATGCGTCAGCAATTAGGTTACCCTATTATTAGGTCAGAAACACACCGTTTGACCATGTTTCATCGCTGAATGAAGTGTTTGGCTATTTTTGTAAGCGGCAGGAAGCTATTTTTATCTAAATTCTGAGAAATAAAACTCTCCTTTGATAACAGTGGGCGATTCTAAGAACCTTGCAGTTCTTAAATGCATTTACCTCTTGACTTTCAATTAATTTTTTGTTGTTATTGTATGTCTTATACTTTGGACTAAGTTTAACAAGAAGAAATACATCGTTAAAAAAAAAAGTGTGTGTGTGTGTGGGGGGGGGGTGTTGACACCACGAGCTTACTGGATCGGGTGATACCAACCCTAGCTACGCCGCTGATTCTATTTGCTGCAATTGCTAGTTGTTGCTGCTTTAATAAAAACAATTTTAAAAAAATGGATTTTGATTAGCAGCAGTCAATGATAAATTTCATTGGCGCATTGTGTGCATTGGTAATTTTTTCCCCTGTTTATAAAAAGTTAATTAAAGAAATAAAGCTACGATAACGAAATTATTTAATTATTTTAAATTTTATTACAATGTAAATGTAATGTATACAGTTGGGGGAGGAATTTGTAAAACGGAGTGGATCTGCAGCGCTGCAAAAAAAAAGATTAAGAATCCCTGCTCTAGAGCTTTTACTAAGATACCTCCCCTGCCCGCTGTCAAACTTTTTTTCCGCTCCATCCCACTTCTCCTGTCCAGATTTAGCCATAAATTCCCACGACTGTCATTGTAACTCCATTCCGATTCTCCTACTCCTGGGCGTCCTGTAACTTGATCTGAGGCCATTCTTCGGACCTCGCACTGATTCTCTCAGTGATAGTAGTTTTAAAATGAAGTATTTATAATTGTTTTGTTTTTTAAAATAATGTAAAAAATGTCTGTCATTCAGTGTTATGAAGTGAAATTCTTTACTACAACATTCTGCTTTTCATGTGACGTCACATGGCTTGAGGGCTCCCCCTCCCCCTCGTCACACATCGTCACAAAAATCTGACCCCCTCCTACCCCCCCCCTTTTTTTTTTAGACGCGTGACGTCATTTATGGATGACCCCTTATAAAAAAATTAATTAATTAATATTTTAAAACTTCTTTATTAGTAAATAATTTTTATTAAAGGTGCTGATGTGCTTACAGTCACAAATAGCATTAAGCAGTGGCGTAGATTGGGGGTGCGGACCGCGCCGTGTGACACCAACTCACCAACCCTAGCTACGCCACTGCATTTTAGGCCTACTGCTACCCAAGGGGAGTGGGGGGTTGTGATTTGTGGCGCTGATTATAGTAGGATCCGAGATGAATAGTAAATAGCAAGAGATAAACGGTTTGTCAATACTGGCATTTTGTAATAAAAAAAGGGGGGAGGGGGGTCAGGCCATGTGTGACGTCACACATTTATTTTTTAAATTTCATTTCTAATTTATTGTTGTTGTTTTTTTAATAGAATTTAATAGCTTTAAAAATAATTTTCAAAAATTTTGTGCAACATTCGAATTAGTTTTATGTCAAAATAGCCTGAAATGCGTATCTCCTGAATGTGTTGTTCACGAGTCCTCTCGTAAGGAGCGCTAGTATGCTGTTGCGAAGCCTTGTTTTATGTATAGCCTTGCTTGAAGTATTATTATTTCTTTGTTGTCCGTTGCAAAATTATGTCACTGTCCTTTTTAATATTTAATCACTAGATGAGGTCATTTTCGCTAATCTTCTTCTAATCCTTTGTAAAAAGATTGCATAATTGGAAGATTACCTAAAACTTGACCTCACCTATTGTAAATGAAAAAGCAGCAGATAAATGATGTGTATTATATAATTATCTAGACTAATTTTTTTAATTTTTGTTTTCAAATTCAATCTAGATTGAGTTACTGCTTCAATGAATAACTATGACAACTGTTGACAATTAACTATTCTACTATTAAAGTCATTTTAATAATGTGAAAGTTCTTTTAAGTGGAAATTTTATATTTTAATACAGTTTAATAGTAAAATGTGTTTTAGATTAAATTTTAATTAGGTGTTAATTTAAAAAAAAATTTTTCGGAGTGTGACGCACTTTAAAGGGGTTGGGAGGGGGGGGGTTCCGAGATTTGTGACAGTTTGGAACAGGGGGGGGGGAGTTAAAATGGCCAAAAAATAGCGTGACGTACTTTATGGACGGCCCCGAAATGGTAATTCATTTTATTTTTTATTTCGTCTTCTCCATTCTTATTGTTATTGTAATACATGTTCAACCCATTTAGGCCACGTGCCTCAAGGGGCCCCAGCCCGGGCGATGAGCCTACTACCATCACTATCTATGGACAATGTTTAGGCAGCCATGTGTTCCTATGTTTCCCCATGCATCCCATTGCCTCAAACGCCTTAATCCGACTAAGTATCATGTCAGGGCAAAATTAGAGTGCACACACAAGGTAGTGTTCAGTCATAATCTCGGTGGTGGATTTACTATAAGACGAAACGAAACCATGTCTTTTGGGTAACAGAAACTGAGGGGCGGCATATATAAACAAAAAATGAAATTATAATTATAATATTATTAAAACTTATTGAACTTAGAGCAGTGGTTCTTAACCTGGGTTCAATCGAACCCCAGGGGTTCGGGGAGTCAGTATCAAGGGTTCGGTTCGGCTAGGTAAAAAAAAAAATCAGGAAAAAAAAAACATATTTTATTTTTCCTATTAAGAAGGGTTCGGTGAATGCGCATATGAAACTGGTGGGGTTCGGTACCTCCAACAAGGTTAAGATCAACTGACTTAGAGTAATAATAAACTGTGCATACAATCACTATAACTGCATTTAAAATTGATTTGATTAAATGGCGCTTCTCCTGGGTCCTAACGTCTTCGTTCAGAAATGCTAAAGCACACTCTTATAAAATTGTTTTAGTGTAGGCCTAAATTAGTCCAGCTGTCAAATAGGCCAGAACGGAACGTCACATAGGCCAGCATTGACGTCACACAGGCCTGCCATAAGCTTGTTATTTTAAGTCATTCCACGTCATCAAAAGAGAACATCTCTCAAATTTCGCCCTTTTGATAATTATCACCTAGTTGATGGCTTGTTTTTTGTGTTGTTTTTTCTACTCTATTCCTTTTTTCGACATGGCCCAATATTTCAATTTAACTGGGTCAAAATTAAAGATTAAATACATTATACAGAATTTAGCCAATTAGACTTTCAATTTCTCATAATAATCAATAGTAAGTCTTTAGTGTTTGTTGAATTGTACATGTCTTTAGTGTTTGCAGTGTTGTTCAAGTCTTTAATGTTGTGTTGTACAAGTCTTTAGTGTTTGTTGTGTTGTACAAGTCTTTAGTGTTTGCTGTGTTGTACAAGTCTTTAGTGTTTGATGTATTGTACAAGTCTTAAGTGTTTGCTGTGTTGTACACGTCTTTAGTGTTTGCTGTATTATACAACTCTTTAGTCTTAGTGTTTCCTTTTGACCCTGCTGTTTCTTTTTCTATAGACATATAATCTATGTAAGTTTTATTATCATTTGGAAGGCTTCGTTTTCCTTCTGTTAATCACCACTATTCTTGTTTAAAAATTGAATCTGTTTGTAGATTTTGCTCGTTAGATGAACACCACGTCACAATGTACTGACGTCTAATAGACAAAGACAAAACACCACCAAAACGAGTGATACTAACAATACTCACTTTAATTGTGATATTAAGGGGATATCAAATACACATTGAACTATACGGAAATAAACACTGTATTAAATTACAAGTGAAAAATTATAAAACTAAAAAAAAAGTATAAATATTAATCCACACACGCAAACCGTGCAAATCTAGTAATTTATTTTGGGCTACTGTCTGGCAAGTCTCGTAACCCTTTGTCGGTCAAAGTCGACCGTCGTATTCATAATGAGGGAGGCACAATCCCTCAGAACAGAAAGTCTAGAAATATCCCTCTCTGTGGACTGTACCGTACAGTAGATCCTTGTAAGACGTAAATAAATTTGTCAAAAAAAAAAAAAAAGACTTGTGGCAAATCGAGTGACAATGAGTCTTGTTAAAGGAGCGTTCTAGGGAGAAAGTATATGAGACCCCCCCCGAGACCCCCCACCCAGTAAAATACATATCAGTGGCCCTACAGCCCATATAGTGTCCTGACCTGCTCCACCACATCCTTCCATTCGGATCAAACCATGGCTTTCCGCCTCCAAGCGTGGACCTCAAGCTAGTGGAAGTCCTTCTCTACATCGTCTATCCACCTCAGTCTAGGTCAAACCGTGAGCCATCTCCCCCCCCCCCAGGTTTCTTCCTGAAGATCATCTTTATTGCTTTATGATCCAGCATCCTTTCAAGGTGTTCTGCCCCGTGCAGTAAGGCCTTATTTAAGGCCTTATTTAATTTTTGCGACCATGAGTGGATCTTA